CTAATCAGTTCTATTTCAAGGGTTTCGGTCAACTACTTATGGAAGAAGCGGCACGCATCGCTTACTTTGAACATGGATCAGAGAAAATCGTAGTCATCTCAGGTGTTGGCACAAGAGACTATTACAGGTTAAAACTATTTTTAGCTTAAAATTGTGCTCTCGTTCCGCTTCATCTTCAGAACTTGTTCCGCATTGTTTGAAAAATCGTTTATATTTTCAGGAAGCTCGGCTACGAGTTGGATGGCCCATATATGAGCAAGACGCTGTCCGCTGAAGATTTCGAATTATGAGAGCTGATAGAAGTTTACGAGAAATTTACTACATTCTCCCCTCGAGTATGTGTGGGAGGGAAAGTTCCTCCTTAGGAGTGCTTTCCATGCATTTTGAAACACTAGCTCTTAATGTGTCGAAGGGATGTGATGAGAAAAAATGTGTACGTCAAGGAATTCTGAAGAGAAAGAGTTTGGTATCCTGTCCACCCGCTATCTCCTTATAGGAATACCTTGAAATTTTACTTATTTAGTAGTCCAAAGTGTAAATGTAGATGTATACTATATATCATTTTATATTCATTATCAGTTTTCGATAGATAAGCTTGAGCGGAATCAGTAACTTCCAACTGGTCTCTGTCACAAGGTAATGTAATATAGTGGATTACTAGCTCGGCGAACAGGCATGGCATCCCTTTCGTTCAGAGTCTTCGTGAAAAGTCTGACCATCGCGAACCAACATATGTGTATGGGGGCCAACTAGTAATCTCTCGCTGGTCTAACGGTTATCACAAAATCGGACGTCATGACGGGCCCATATGGTTTTTGATTTCTTGTCGTAAGCAACAGCGTCCTTGATCTTCATTCGTGGACGGAGCTTATAACTCTAAATCCCCTCTGTGCTTGCGTATATCGGAAAACTCCATTGTCCCTTCCAATGGGTGTTTACATTCAACTTATCAATATATCATCGACATTTGTGATATGCGTGGAAGAGTGATACCAATCATTATAATCCTTCTCCCGTGGACCTCCTGATATTCGAGTATCCTTTTTCATCTCCTTATGATGTCCCCTCTGAAAGGAAAAAAATGGTCCTGTTACTGGGTGGTGAAGATCAGCAACTGCTTGTTGTTAACTAACATGAAAAAGTACTAGACATTCTACTTTTTCGGGTTCGGCGAGCCTTGGAATTAGGCTCGAGGCGTAGAACCTTGACCGATTGAATGTGCATGAAAAACTATTTTCTATTTGCGAGGAACAATATTCGTAGCTGCAATTGTACGCTTCCGTGTTGCAGTTAAAGGTCATGTGGTGCCCTTATATGCAGTTTGTCATTATTGTTATTGTTGTGGTCGTTGTTTTGTTTTTGTTTTTCGTATGCCTGTAAACAGAACATAAAATTTATCATTAACTTTAGCCTATTTGAATTATCAGCCGAATGATGTCGTTATTAAGACAGCTAATTCATGTTCCTGCTCTTAGCGTTACAGGGCATGTGCCTGTGGTATAGAAGGGCGTACTATTCCGTTATCGAAGACATTGAAATTGACTTCGATACAGAGGTATCCCGACGGGAGTTGCTGAACTGGGTGAGCTTCCGAAAACAAGTTCTACTCGTTAGGTAACCAAGTGAAGATGCGAGTGTGGGTGTCTCGGATATGAGTCGAAGGCATGGTTCACATAGAAAGTTCGCCGAGTTGGTAATGGGTGGTTGAAGGGCGCAAACTGTCAAGCTTGTGAACACTATTCCATGCTACAGGCGCTCAACTGTAGTACATTGGAGTGATCAAATAAGTTCGCATAGAGTCCAGATTCTTGTTTTCTGAGTTTGTGCGAATCATCCGACCCGCTTTTCGACCTCCCATAGAATGTCTTCCATGATGTCTTTTGTGAAGCACAGCAACATTGTTATGAGGAGAATCTATACTATTCTAATGTTTCCAATCATGAAGCCGTTTGAGGTAGAACAGCAGTTCTCACTATTGCGATGATAGTGTCAACGTGCGTGAAATGCATGGAACGCTATTTCAGTCGCTCAGATCTCTGACCACGCCCACTGCATGGGCGTCCGCATCAAATACCTTCAGGAGAATCGGGAATTTTGTTCATGAGTAGAGATGTCTGTGAGCACCCCTTGCAGGAACACAGCCTTTTCCATATAAGTCATTAGTAATTTCGACTGATTGAATTTCGCTCGTCGATTAGAGGGAAAAAGAAAGACGTGCTGAAAGTGTTATTCCTATCGAATCGTATGGTAGATTACTGTACAGCGTAAAGATATACCTGTGATAAAATGTTAGAATTCGATAGAAGGAAAACTGTACTAACAGGTCCTATGGAGCAGAGGAAAATGAAAAAAAAAACCTGCGGACAATCTCCATTCTGGCCTTCATAAATCGGAAAGGTTACGTACAAACTAGATTAACCTCATTCGTTAAGAACAATATTAAAAGCACCTTGTCGAAAAGTCCCCGACTTTTCTCCTCAATATATAACCTCATCATAGTTGTTTATGAAAATATTCTAGTGTCGTTAGGTGGTACAATTTATTAATTCAACGGCCTAGCGTTTCGACGCTATCGTCTTTTTCAGAGGCCTGAAGCAACTCGAGATGATTGGTACAGTATACAAAAAGCACATCACCCCGTTTGGCGAATGTAACGACAAATTCAAACCCACAATTCGAATCGCAACTCACCAGGGTTCCACCTCTCAAGCAGATATAAAATCTGCTGTCGCCACAGGCGACTTCTACCTATATTTCATCTATTTATTCTGATCAATACATCGGAGAAACGGGAAGACAAATAGCTACGGATAAAAAAGTACCTAGCTAGATGAGGCGTGGCAGCCTGATGACAGCGCTTAGTAGGCATAAAATTGAGGAGCACAACGGCAACAACTTCGAAGTAAAGTGCATGATATTGGCGCACGAGACGGAGATTTCAGCAAGTATGGCATTAGAGGCGTTCTGGATTTTCCGTAGAAATCCTCAAATGAACGGTATACATAGATGAGTGCCAGTCTATAACCAATGATCTTTTGCCTTGTATACCGCACTGCGACTTATGACTCGGTAGAATTACGAGATGATCTTCCTTGTCACAAGTATAAGGGAGACAGCATAAGAAGTCTCATTCGCTAGTGGCAGTCGCCTATAGCAACAGCGAATTTTATATCCGCTTGAGAGGTGGGACCCTGATGAGTTACGATTCGAATTGTGGGTCTGAGTTTCGTCACATTTGCCGAAGGGGGTGGTGTGTATTTGGATACTGTGCAAATCATCTCGAGTTGCTTTAAGTCTCTGAAGAAGACGATAGCGTCGGAATGTAGGCCCTTGAATTAATAAATTGTTCCACCTAACAACCTTGCATGGTACAAGAATATTTCTATGTTAAAGGTCCCCAACCCATCCTTCTCCGTAATGAATGATGTGATGAATCTATTCTGAAAACTGTTTGTGAAAGGGTCACACCACATTCCATTAGGTAAACCGTACGTACGGTATTTCGCTGTTATCTTTGTACAACGATTCAAACACACTTTTTGTGAGGTCAGACGCGAACACACGCGAGGTCTTCCGTATAGTATCAGAGTTGTGCGGGAAATGGAATGACCATCCCGAACATCAAGCATTGGGATAATCAAGGTCAAAGACTCGTTGGTGTATCTGTGATTTCAAGTGGTTCTCAAATGTGCGCTGCAATTTAATAACATCAGTCGAGACTCGCTCTTTAATGGCATTTTTATCTTCACTGGAGACCCTAAGTTCATAAATATGCTGTTGTTACTTGTTTGCTTATAATCTTTTGACGTCATGCTCGAAGTCAATTGTTGATGTCATTTTTATCGAAGAGTATAACCTTCTATTGCAAAGCTAGATAACGGGGTATACGCCAATCCGTAAGGTCGAAATCAAGTTAGAAAAGGCTAGTTGAAGTCTAATGAAACAAATTAACAAAATAAAATTGGAAAAAAATGGCGTCACTGCAATTACTTGAAGAGTAATAATTGTCTGGTCATTCATCCTCAATGCTTTTTCCACTGTAAATTTGGCGCTATATATAATACATTACTTTTACCAATGCTCAACGCCTACCTAACAATTATTTAATCAGAACATGAAACCCTAGCTTCCTTTTTTTAAATGCAGGTTCTAATAGTTGGTAGGCTCCTTTTGAATTGCATAATTGCTTTCCCTTTTGCAGCCCTGATTCAGGGGAACCTCACCTGACACCGGATCCTTATTCCCGTGTTGCACCTCTTCCTCCGGACTGCATACATGATTATGAGATCAATATTGGAGTGCAGGCGAGTTGCCTATGGAGCCGGAATGCTTTTCTTTCCTCATCATCTGAAATCCAAATGTTCCTCGAGTCTAGGATGACGATATTTCAAATATGTTGCACGAACTCGCAATATCTTGGTACTTCGTCGATTTATTCGGCAGTATATCGTTGCTTGACTTCGCAGCAAGCCATGTTTATTAATTCCTAGAGCTCCAATCGCTCCACATTTTTATCTCGTACTTCAACAAATTACCTTCAAGTGAGAAAAAGAGTCAAAGGGATTTCGAGCGAAACTAACGACATAACCTATAAGAAGTATAGAAGAATTCAATTCATTTATAAATTAGTGAAAAATGGTAATTCCCCTTTTCTTACCATTGACTGATTCCATTACAATGAAAAAAGTTGTCATAAAGCTAGGAAGGGGTATGCTTGGTTACTGACAGCACGTTTCTGCTTAATAACGTTTATCGAACAACAGTGAGATATTGACAAAGTCGGCTGGGGAAGGTTGATCTACAATATCGACGGGGTCCTATCATGAAGGCTTCGGGCTTCATCAGGGCACTGCATTGCGAAAGGGCCTGAATTTTTTGCAATAGTCAATCACCGCCAACGATATCTCGTTTTTTTTTCTACGTCTCACAATCAATTATCCAAGAAGACCTCGTTTTGTTACTTCTAAACTAGCCGCGCCTCTGAGAATGATGCCCATAACAACATCTTGATTTTTAATTGCGTATCCATTGCATTACAATTGTTTGGATACCACTCATTAGAATTAATGCAATATGCTATGCAATATGCAATATGTAATATGCTGAATAGCATATTGCTCAAGTGTTTATCACAGGATGACATTTCGTTCAATTCATTCGTTTCAACATTTCGCTAGAATTAGCCCTAGCATATCTGTATCTTAACTGTTGTACTAGGATCATGAACATGCACGTTGCTCATATTGCATTTAAGTTCACATCAGGATCTATACCTCTGCATTAGTAATCT